TAGGAACAAGTGCCTTACTAGTAGTAACAAGTTACGAATTTAATTAGTGTTGAGAGGCACGCTGTGCGCCACATGTGACATGTCATGTCATGAGTTTCTTTTTCAAACCAACCATATCCCACCGTAGAGGGTGGGCTCGAGAAGCTTGCAAAAAGCTGCGTGTGGCGTTCAGTCGCCTTTGCCCTTAGCTTCGACCTCGTCGTTGCTTCGTGTTCGTTTGCCGTGGACTTCGTGCGCTACGGCTACTTCTCTACATTGGTAGCGGAGCCACCGGTCTGGTGGCTCCCTGCCTGTGCACTCCGCGACTACGAGCTCTTTGTCCTGGTTGAGACCTACGGTGGGTTTGACTGTTCTCGCTCTTGCATGGTGGTTCCTTCTACTCCAGCACTACGCCCGTGCAGAGCCCTACGTCCCTGAGAACGTCACCATGGCCTCGAAGAAGGCCCAACCCGCAGGCTCAGGTCAGAGCTCGAAAGATGGCACGTTCATGGACTTGAGGGACAGTTTCGTGCCGCTGTTTTCCGGCCAGCCGGCCGACTATCGGGAGTGGAGAGCTCGCATCCATCTTTACCACAGAAAGATGGCATTGACAAAGCGGTCGACAGAAAGTGTCCTCAATATCGTGGGCTCCTTCACCGGTGTCACTTGGCGGTTGTTTCAGGATTGGGGGCATGAAGAACTAGAGAAAGGAGAAGCCTTTGAGAAGGTCATTGCCACCCTGGATGCAAACTTCGCCTATGACACCAAAGTTCAGTTGCCCACTGATTTCGAGTCATACTTCAACTTGCTGCAACGCACCCCCGGTCAAACACTTTTGCTGTTTGTTGCCGATCATGAAGAAGCTTATAGAAAGTTGCAGCAACACCGCATTGAGCTTCCTCCCTCCGTTCAAGGATGGCATTTACTCCGCCGTTCTGGCCTCACCCGTGAACAACGACAGTCATCACCCTTCGTGCACCCAACCTGGAGAAGACTGAGGTGATTGAGGCGATGTACTTGATCCTGGGCCAGGACTATAAAGGTGGTGGATGGAATTCAGAGCGGAACCGACGGTTCGGAGGCCACTCCCCTTCCTGGAAGCATCGTGCCTATGCTGCTGAAGATTATGAGGAAGACCCGCACCAGGAAGATGAAGGATGGGAGTATGGCTACTATGAAGAAGATGAGTCTTGGGCCGATGATCCGCAGACTCAGGACTATGACCTCTACGATGATGGCTAGGACTTCGACCACGACGCTGGCTACTATGGTGAGGAGGATCCCTGGCCTGAAACGGAAGAGCAGCAAATTCCTACACAGATGGCTGCCGCCTACGATGCTGCTTTTGCCTCCTACACGGACGCAAGACGACGGTTTCAGGAATTGAAGACAGCTCGTGGATACCTTCCCATTGTGGCGCTCACTGATGGTGGTAGCACTTCACCCACGGCTACATCACCGCAGTCGCCTACTTCCTGGAGAACAAAAGGAAAAGGGAAGGGTGGGTCAAAAGGTGGAAAGTCCAAAACCACCATCCGATATCCACCACAAGGAGCTGGCAAATCGGACCCCAAGGGACGAGCGAAGGCCAACATGACCTGTCTTCGCTGTGGCCAGCCAGGCCACTGGGCAGCGAACTGCCCCCAATCGTCGTCAAGTCCTTCGGCACGATCAGCTGGTGTCAAACGACCTGCATCGACCACAGAAGCTATGGCTATGACTCCCGCCGCTGAGGAGAGTGCCCTGCTGATCTTCCAAGATGCCACAGGAGCTGAACGTCCCGAGTGCGTCATGTTGGACCCAGGTGCCAGTGCTTTTCTCTCGGGCTATGGACCGTTCAGAAGGTTCCTGGACCACTTGCGCTCCCTGGACTTCCCGATCGACAAGATCAAGATGAGCAAGGGTCGACGTCGATTTCAGTTTGGTGGCGACGCATCCTTGTGGTCCGACTGGTCAGCCCATGTTCCCACCTTCGTGGATGGCAAGTATGGCACAATTGAGTTGTTCCTGCTTCCGGGCAACACGCCCATGTTGTGTGGAAGGCCGATCATCGAGGCCTTGGGCATGACGATGGACTTTGCTCAACGCCGTCTTCGCATTGGAAGCTCGCCCTGGATGTCGGCCACTCTTGGTCGCCAAGGTGAATACCTGTGGTCCCTCACCAATGAGCATGACAATGTCCACTACCACCCGGAGAAGCCGGAGTTTGTGCTCAGGACCAACGACCAGGGCATTGAACAAAGTGATGGTTTCCTGCTCAACGACTTCATGGCCGAGGAACATGGCTTCACCTCCTTCGAGAAGATTGATGAGCCAGTGCACTCACCTTCAACCCGGCCTCTTCGAAAGCATGAGCTGAAGACCATGGACACACAGTTGGCCACTCAGCTGAATGACCTGTCTGCTTATGTCACGAAGGAACTTCATCGTCCTGAACGTCCCCGTATCCTATGGGAGATCTATTGTGGCAAGGCTCGCACTGCTCAGCTGGCTGAAAGTATGGGCATGGAAACTCGCACCTTTTCCTATGAGACAGGGTGGGACTTTGAGCTTCTGAACCATCAGGACGAGTTCATGCGCCTTTTGGAGGAGGAAGCCCCTGATGAACTGTTGATGGCACCAGAGTGCAAGCTGTGGAGCCGCATGCAGACCTTAGGCCGCAGAACTCCAGCCCAGCAAGAAGCACTGAAGGCGGCCCGACACCATCATCATGACCGTCACCTGAGGTTTGTGCGGCGTGTCTACTTGGCTCAGGTCAGTGGAGGAAGACACGTCACAGTCGAACAGCCCAAGAACGCCTTGTCCTGGAACACCCGTGCACTCCGAGATCTACCAGGACGCCGTGCAGACTTTTCTCAATGTCGATATGGTGCTCAATGCTTGGACACCGATGGAACATGGAAACCAGTGCAGAAGCATACATCGCTGCTCACCACCAAGCGCTCGGTTCAAGACGCCATGTCTCTGCAGTGTCAACACGATCACGAGCATTGTCCCTTGGAAGGAGCAGCGCCTGGCTTTGGTTCGAGAACTCGCTACTTGGAGGAGTATCAGCCTGCTTTGGCCGCTACTCTTGCAGCTGCCTTAGCCGTCGATGAGCCTCCTGCCTTCTGGGAGACTGGACATGCTGCCGAAGATGAACGTGAAACCACCAGCTCCCTGGTCAAGCTACGAAGCGAGACCAAGCAGGACGCCATTCGAACAGTCCAGCGCTTGCACCGGAACTTGGGTCATCCTTCACCACAGGCCCTAGGGGAGCTACTGGAAGCCAGAGGAGCCTCCGAGGCCATTCTGCAAGCAGCCAAGTCCTATCGCTGTCTGGCTTGTGCTAAGTACAAGAAACCGGCTCAGGCCGCTCCAGCATCTATGCCCACGACAAGCCAATTCAATGAGGTGCTACAAGCTGATGTCATGTGGCTTCGTCGCGGCACTGTGAAGTATGCCATCATGAGCCTGGTCGACAGTGCGACTCGCTATACAGCAGCCTCACTCATTCAGTCCGAGCACACTGACAACTATGTCAAGGCCCTGGAGCGTACTTGGATTGCACACTATGGTCCTCCCAACACTTTGCTCACCGATGAGGGTCGTGGTTGGCTCAGTTCACAAATGGATGAATGGACAGCTGCGCACCAGATCAAGCATGTTGTGGCGCCTGGCGAAGCTCATGAGCGTTTGGCCATTGTGGAGCGGCGACACGCCGTTATTCGCAAAGCAGTTGAAGTCTACCTCAACGATCTCCAAATGGATGGACCTGCAGCCATCCAAGAGGCCCTGAGCTATGTGATCCCACATGCCAGGTGTTGCCGGATTCTCACCTTCACAATGGGTGCTCGGCTATCAGCCCTCGCTTGCTGGTGACCTGTTGTCTGATGCCACGCAGCCTGCTCACTTTGGAGGCAACCAGACCTTTGAGGAGATGCTCACAAAGCGTCATGCCGCTCGCAAAGCCCTCAATGATGCAGATGCTGACCGACGTCTTCGAAGAGCACTTCATTTGAAATACAAGGGCATCAACTCAGAGTATGCCCTGGGTCAGCAAGTATGGTTCTGGAGAGACGCTCGCCAACCCGATTTAGTCAAGATTCGATGGTTGGGACCTGCTAAGGTCGTGATGAAGGAGCGTCGACCCAACACTGAAGACTCAGAAAGTCCTGTCTCTGTGTATTGGCTCGCCTACAAGACCCAGCTCATTCGCTGCGCACCTCATCATGTTCGAGCCGATGTACGAAACCTCAACCACTCCATCGAAGACACGAGGGATGCTCTGAACCTGGTGAGGCAGTTGAAGTCAAGAGGAGTCACTCGGTTCTATGACCTTCATCGAGTCAACCGGCAGAATTTGGCCGATGTCGAGGATGATGAACAAGGCGAGGGCGCACAGCTCGACACGGAGTCAGAA